ATCTTTGATTTGACGCTCGTTATGTGCGGGTTCCAAGTGAGCCTACGGTATATTAGAAGGCCGATGTACTTTATCCGCGCTTGCCAGTCAATCTCCCTTCCAGAGATTCTCACTTTTCTGGCCGGAGAAGACAGTAATCTTCCCATGGTTATTGCCTGAGTCTTTTCCGGGTTCACTCGGATCTTTCAATTAAGGTACCAGCGCTCGAGGTCGTCCAGTGCACGTTGCATATAGACGACGCCGAGCTCCCGACCCATGGAAGATGAGAGAGAGATATCTTCACACGCTCGGGCCTCAGAAGGTCACTGGTGTAAAGTGAGTACAACGTCAGAGAGAGCACGGCCCTCTGTGGCACTCTAGCAAGGATCTCCTGTCTTTCAGGAAAGATCCGAGGCAGGTCGAATGCGTTTAATTTGTGCAGAAGACCTTCGTGCCAAACACAGTCGAAGGCCTTCGAAATGTGTGAACTATTTTGTTGGAGTTGAGCTCTTCGATGGTGTTTTCGACCAGCCTTAGAGCCTATAACTCAGTGGAGTGGTCTCTCCTGAAGCCAAATTGTTCATCAGGCAGAACATTTCGGTCCTCGCTGAGCCTTTGGAGAACAACTCTTTCAGTCAGCTTAGCCGCCGAAGAGAGTAGACAGATCGGGCGATAGTTCTGTGGGAACAGCGGGTTCTGACCCTGTTTTGGGATCATGACGACGATCGCATGCTTCCACCTTCTGGGGAAGTGTCTGAGTGTCTATTTATTATGTTCAGTAAGCATTCAACGCAGTTGTTCGGGAGCCTCTTCAACAACTTGTTAGTTATTGAGTCGACCCCCGGTGCTTTCTCAGCCTTTGCGGCCTTGATATATTCCTTCAGCTCTTCCACAGAAGCTGGACAGATGTCATCATCGTCATCTTCCCTGAGGAGTCGGTGAACCCGGTCTTCCAACAACATATCGCGGTCGATGTCATCGTCGTCTTCAACGTTAAGCTGAAACTGACGTTCCATCGAGTCAGCAAAGGCTAACACTTTGTTAGCGGGGGAGTAGCATACTCCGCGCTCTCCGTGAATGGGTAAGCAGTCTTCTTCCCCTTGAGCCTGCGAGTGAGCAATTATTCAAAAGCGGTGAACCTGGCCGACGGCATCAAGGTTCAGCCTTTCACGATCGAGGGCTGAAGACAGGCAACTCAGAGCTGTCTTCAGAGGAGTCCCAGAACATCTGAAGACCGCGGACATCGAGGATTCCTAGGTGGAGAAGGGTTTCCAGCCAACATCCGCAAGGGGGTGCATACTGCGAACTACCGAGGTTGTCCTGAGTTCCCTAAGGTTCGCAGGAGGACCAAGGTGGTTGCAAATGCCCCCCAAAATGCATCCACACCTGGAAGGCGTCCAGCTGGAGCATCTAGCACACGCCCGGGGATGAGTTATGCAGGAGTGGCAAAGAGCGGCAACACCTCCGCTAAGCCGACTGAAGCTCCCAATAGTCCTCGCTCGTCGAAGGTTAGTGACATCTGTTCCGCACTGGACCAGATGAAGAAACTGTTCATCCAGTTCCCCGTACTCTGAAAGATATTTAGGGTGAACACCAGCGTGATAACTGGAACCTGTTAATGGCTAGACAACCAACATTGCCTAGCTCTCTTAAGGTCGTATTTTGGAACGCCAACGGCATTTCAAACAAAAAACTTGATTCGAAAACTTCATGATAGCGCAGAATATCGACGTCGCACTAGTGCAGGAAACCCACCTGCACAATGAACCTTTTGGTATTCCAAACTACCGTTTCTACCATAGAGAACGAGTTGGACGTGCTGGGAGAGGAGTTGGCATTTTTGTCAAACGTAATCTTTCTCACGTACAATTTGGCATTGACCCGGATCAGTTACACGGCACGGAAGCCGTGGGCGTTGAACTCCAACTGAGAAGAGGTCGTCATAGACTAATCTCAGTTTACAACCCTCCGTGGAATCGTCTACTCCCAGAATCACTGGATGAACTGCTGTGGTCGACAGATATCCCCACAATTGCTGCTGGTGACTTCAACGCCAAGCACAATCTGTGGGGCAGAGTCACCAATGCGAACGGCCGAGTGCTCCATGCGCATGCTGACAGGCATGAGTATCGAGTGATGGGTCCAGGTGAGCCTACGTTCTACCGTCGGGATAACAGATCTGACGTGCTTGATATCGCACTACTGAGGAACGTTTCCATGTTTTGCGAAGTGTACACTTTGTCGGAACTAGACTCAGATTATAATCCAGCCATCCTGATGCTGGGTGATGATCTCCCTCCCCAGGACTATCGCATGAGATCATCCACGGATTGGGAAGCCTTCAAAGCTCATCTAGTGGAGACACTTACGGACCGTGAGGTGCTTCAAACTGGCAACGGCCTCGACGCGGCAGTGGCGGATTTCGAATTGTCTGTGAACAACGCTTTCCGCGCAGCCACAACCAGGACAGAGTGTCCTCTGTGAAGCTATAATGAGTTTTCTCCCAGGATAAAGAAACTCATCTGGGAGAGAAATCGACTCAGACGAGTTTATCAGCGGACTCTCTACCCTGGAGAAAAGGCTGCGGCTAGCAGGATGACCAACCAAGTCAAACAGTCATTGACTACAGAAATGAGAGGTGGAGTGAGTGTTTGGAATCTCTCGAACTTGGGGATGATGAGCTATGGCGAGTCATCCGCAGGCTCGAGAAGAGGAAAACCGCTTCCTCCCCTTTTCACGGACAGCGCGGTATCTGCTACTCCCCCACCGACATAATGGAGAATCACTTCCAGCTTAACGCTGATCCGGATGATGATATTGACCGTGATATCCGGCTGGAACAACGAGTTCAGCGAATCCTCAGGGAAAATGATGACGACGTGATCCGTCCAGCTTCGGAGGAAGAACCGAGGGGGTACATTAGGGCCTCCAAACCCAAAAAGGCTCCGGGAATTGATTCAATCAACAATAGGTTGTTGAAGCAGCTCCCGGAGAACTTGACTTGACAATGTTTCATGATGAATTTCGCTAGTTTGGACTTCCATTGTCTACTATATAAAATGATTTGAAATCCCTGAAACAACTAAAAAAGAAGAATTGGAAATGAGTAGCTGAAAATAACAATTATATTAACCNGTAGTTCGACAAAATGCCTTGAATTCTTCACAAAAGACGATGTTTTTCCTTGTAATGGTTGTATTAACGGAAGTAAAAATCTAGACAAGTTTTGAGTAGCCGAATCTCTGGAGCTGATGATCGATCTAAGCGGAACGTCCTGCTTGTGGATTTTGGGTAGTCCATACAAGTGAGGGGGCTTATTGTGGTACGGTGTTAGAGGTGATCTTTCCTTGTCCGAAAAATAGACTTGCTGTTTTTTTAAAATCTGGTACAACTTCCTTTCAATTGATGCGGTAGGGTCCCGTACGATCTTTGTGTATCGTCCCTTCTGAAGAACCTCTTCGATCTTCTGTTCGTAGAGAACGGTATCCATTACCACAGTAGCGTTTCCTTTATCTGCAGGTAGGATCTTGATGGTGTTGTCTCTACGTAGGCTGTTCAGAGCTCTACGTTCTCCATTGCTGATGTTAGATGTTGGAACTGGTTCTCGATCCAGCTGTTCTTTAATTTTCCATCTGAACTCTTCTGCCTCGGTCTGGTCAATAAGGGAACTGGTGGATTCCACTGCAGTAATTATCTCCAAAGTGGGCACAGATGTTGGCGTAATGGCGAAATTTAGGCCTTTTCTCAACAAGGATTCCTCTATTCCCGTGAGCGGGCGGGAACTCATGTTGATGACGTTGGCGGCTTCATAGTTGTCCTGTTTTCGGTCTGTATTTGGGCATTGTTTCCTCACTAACTTCTCCCACTTTTTGTTGTGGGTATTCTCCTGTCTCCTGTCAGCAGTCATCATCCGAAGACGATTGTAGGTACTAACAATCGAAACGTCGTGAACTAACGTGACTTGGAATCTCTCCACTTCTTTATTTTCTTTCTTTTTTCATTTCTTTAGTCTTATTTATTCAATTGTTTTATTTTTACTTGTATTTTATTTCACTATTATTTCGTTTCAGGTTTATTTTGGTTAATATAATTGTTATTTTCAACTACTCATTTTTAATTCTTCTTTTTTAGTTGTTTCAGGGATTTCAAATCATTTTATATAGTAGACAATGGAAGTCCAAACTAGTGAAATACAGTCCATCTTGTCCTCCTGGACATTTTGATAGCCTTCTACTGAGTATGGCACGAAGGCTTATTACATAAAATGCTCGATTTCGATCTGCCTCGGGGTCTGATCCGGTGGATTAGGTTCTTTCTGAAGGGTAGAACATTCCAGGTCCGAGTTGAAGAAACCCTGTCTCCTGTCAGGGAAATCCAAGCTGGAGTGCCACAAGGAGCTGTGCTGTCTCCTCTACTGTACAGCCTTCACGTGAGCGACCTTCCGAGGTTCGATCACGTTAAGGTTTCCGTATACGCCGATGATACGGCTCTCCTCGCTACTTCCATGGGTCGAGGGTTGGTGGTCGTCTACATGTAACGCGCATTGGACGACCTGGAGTGGAAGATTCGGGTGAACCCAGGAAAAACTCAGGCGATAGATTTGGGGAGGCGTAGCGTGTCTCCTGATACAAGAGTCACAATTTCAGGCAGGAAGATCGAATGGCAAACGCGAGTCAAATACCTAGGTCTTTGGGTAGACCGCCGACTCACCTGGGTAAATCACATTGACTATATTAAGAACAGAGTACAAATGAGCATAGCCAAACTCTATCCTCTGATCAATCGAAACTCCAAGCTCAGTCTTAGAAATAAATTTTATTATACAACACGATGTTCATCCCGTTCATTATGTATGCTTCAGGCGCTTGGGGACAAACCGCTCCGTCAAACCTCTCCACTTTGGAAAGGTTGCTTATGATTTCTTTCATTATTACCTTCATCCGAAATTTGAACTTGATTCACAGTATCTGCCCCTTCAGGAAACGAATCTTATTAAGAAATTTCAATTTATTTTGTCCTAGAAACCGCAATGGGTGTTCCAGTTGATGCCCAGCTAAAAGAGAACTCCCAGTACGTAAAGAACGTTAAACTGATGTGCAAGATAGGAGTGTTGAGGTCGACTTCCATTTTAAAAAATAACGACTTCTTCTATCCGCTCACCCTGGACTATTACAGAGAACAGAAGGCAGTGAAGCAACTCCACGAAGTCACGAATTCCGTCATAGAGTCAAGGATGAAGCATTTGGAAAGTTCGGGCGGGAAAGTGAAAGAAAACACCGACGAGCTTGGCAGGAAGAAAAAACTGGCTTTTCTGGATATTTTGTTACAGTCGACTGTGGATGGTAAGCCTCTGAGCATAGAGGATATCAGGGAGGAAGTGGATACGTTTATGTTCGAGGTAGGTTTCCAGTCTCGACTTCTTCATTCGCACTTTTGAAGAAAAATTGAAAAATAATATTCAGAACGACTTAAACATACATATTTCTTACACACGATCCATTATTAGTTTTCTTTCTTTATTCAATAACTGAAATGTTATAATCCATATCAAATAACAACTCCATTCCTATTGACCTACTTAATCAAAATAAAAAAAGAATTACTAAAAATATGTTGGGGTTCTCAATACGATGAATTATACATTGTTTCAATCAAAATTTTTGTAATTTCGTAAAATTCTAATATTATGTTGTTTTCAAAGTTTTATCCGTTTTTATCATATTTCAATAAATATTTATTCTACTGTGTTATATATTGCTCGATAGAGAATTTTCAACTCCATATATTGATGCTGTTCTCTTTTTTCAAGAAATTATTTACCTCCTTTCAGCTTATTTTACTATATGACGTCATTAGGCACTTTTCGACCAATTTTTCTCTACAAATTCAAATTGAACCAAAAGCTATCGAAACAGCTCGAAAAATCCACCAGGCATTTGGCAATGATGTTGTTAATGAACGAACTGTTTGACGGTGATCGCGAAATTTCTTTCCAGAGATTTCAGCCTCGAAGATGAGCCCCAAAGTGGTCGACCTACAATAATCCAAGACAAGAATTTGAGGACCTTGGTGGATACTGACCCATACTAATCCGGTCAATCTAGACATTGAAAGGTACATCAATTTACAACAAGCTGCAAACGCGTGTAATTGTTCAAAATATAGTTGAAAATAAGATTATAAAATTCCGAATGATTACAACTTTTACAACTTTTTGACTCGTCGTATCTCAGAAACGGTGGCTCTAAGAAAAAAGTATTGATACATTTTTTGTAGAGAATTTTATGATCTACAACTTTTGTCTGAAGTTATTTTATGATGAAACTTACCGTTTTCCTGAAAATAGTGAAAAACCAATTTTTTTCGAGATTTTTGACCTTTGACCTCGAATACATTTTTTTCCAGGCATCGCAATCATTCGGAATTTTAAAATCTTATTTTTAACTATGTTTTGAACAATTACACGCATTTGCAGCTTGTTGTGAATTTATGTACCTTCACTCTTACTTTTTAGTCTAATTTGACCAGATAATACGGTTTTTGACGGTTTGAGACGTATTGGAGAAGTGAAAAATGGTGGATTGTCACGTTACGACATCTGTTCTTTGCTTCTGCACAAACAAAACGAATTTTTTTGTCTCAGATCGTCACGTCTATTGTATTGTCTTTTCAATTTTAAACAACATGAATTTGAATGATTCCGAAACAAAATAAATTTCATGATGGTCTGATGGGCTCGTTAGCGTCGTCCTCAAATGGCATAGCGGGTAGAAATATCTCAGTGACTTTGTGAATGAATTGCAGTGCCACTTACTTGAGATGACTATTTGTTTAATCTTCTTATCGAGAAGAGTTTTTTTGCAGTTCACTTGTGCGTTGTTATGTAAGAGTTAAGGACTTGTTTCACTGTTTGTTTAACAAGTCTCAAAGTTATGTGAATGCCAGGTTCTGCTCAGAATATACAACGTTGGTCTCTGCCGCGCAATGAATTGTACGCCCGTATAACATCGGAATTAAGAGAAGTCAGCAGCTTCACTACCTTCCAAGCTGGTGCAACCAGGAATTCTGACCAGCGGCAATTCAGTAATAATTCTTACGGAAGAGCTACTTTTTTGCAGCTTACTACCAACTTGGACGTTGATCGTCAGTGCTTCCAGAGCTTCGGGCCAATCAAAAATATTTTCTTCGATTTAGTATTTGTTTGGCATAACCTGAAGCGATGCCAATGACAGAGTCTAGTCCGATGGAACCTTTTGCAGCGTTATAGAGAAAGAGAGAGAGAGAGAGAGTGGGAAAGAGAAGGAGAGAGAGGATGAGAGAGAAAGAGTGAGGGGAGGAAGGGGGGAGGGAAAGAGAGGGGGGGAGAAAAATACAGAGAGAGATAGGGAGAGAGACAGAGAAAGAGAGACACAGAAAGACAGCGAGAGACATAGAGAAATTACAGTACACTCAAATTCACTGAGACTTATTATAGTAATTGATTAATTATTTATTAAGTTCAATTTATTTTACCTTTCAGCATCTAAAAATAAATCTTTTTTTATTTAAGGGACATGATACTACCGCTTCCGCCATGACATTCACTAGTTTTCTGCTTGCTGGACATCCAGAGGTTCAGGTAAATAAACTTTGGTGGAACATTTCCAGTAAGTTAATGTATTTTCGAAACAAATCAGAATTCATTGAAACTCTTATCACTTGTAGCAGTTAGCAGAGCGATAGGATCAAAGATCAATATATTTGAGAAAAATATATAACTATCAATATTACTATTTCTCCAATACTCAGCAGTGTTTACAAACAATGCCGATTGGAACTTGAATATGATGTAATAAAATAGAGGTTATTTATTGATGTTGATTTCAATTGGATTGTCATAACACCATTATGAAATATTTTCAAACTACAAAATTCTTAGGAGTAAACATTGATGAAAGTCTGTGTTGAATTACTCATGTTGAGATGAAAAAAAATCAGTCCACTTTTAGGAACACTATTTAGGGTTAGAAAAGTTATTCGTTATTCCTATTTTTTGTACATTTGAATCTACAATGAAAATTTGATCTCTCATTGTTTAAAAAAAGTATTGATATTCATGAAGAAACTGATAAAATAATGAAAGATAAAACTGGAATCTCTGACGTAGAATAAATCCAAAAACAAGCACGTTTATCCATCACCAGAACTACAATACTCTTCTTCACGCGCGTTTCACCAACCAAGTTGGTGTCTCCAGGTGATACCAACTTTGTCTGTTTTTGTCTAACTCAAATGTTCAGTGCAGTCTATCTCACATCATATCATATGTTGATCATCAGTCATCTTGTTCACGAAAACGATGTTTTCTGTAAGCACATACGACTTTGGTCGTCCTTCATGAGATTCATCCCTAACAGACCCAAGGCTGGACGAAATTCTGCAAACCAATTGTACGAGGACTGTTCAAAAAATAAGGTGAATGTTCAAACTCTATATCTGTAGAGTAGGGAGACTGAATGTAAGCCCACAGCACTTAGGCCACATATGACATATTGTACATCCTCTCGAGGAGTCATTGTCCATCCTGTCCTCTTTAGGAATTGAGCATGGGTGTAACATTTGGCTAGTTCCGCAATTGTCGAAGTCATCAGGCCGTAGGTGCCACTATGGGTCCTAAAATTCTTAGTCCAGCCGCTTTCTTGGCTGAACAGTCTTTACTCCTGTCGTGCCCTTTAACCCACCTAGGGTAATATTATTATCTACCGAGGCTTTGGCTAAATCTTGGTGAGACTCTAGTATTAGCCCTGAGGTTACACGTTGTCTGTTCAAGGCTAATAGGACTTGTCTGCTGTCCGTGCAGATTGATATGTTTTTTCCAGAAATTCCTTTCCTGGTTATTTCTTTTGTGGCGATTGAGATACCAAATTTCGCAAGCTACGTACATTCGACCTGGACACCTCAGAATAAAAATGTTGAGAAAGTGAAAAAAAAAAGGTCATGACTGATGATAAATCATGGATATATGGTTATGACATCGAAACCAAAGTCCAATCATCTCAATAAAAGAGCCCAGGAGAGCCAAAATCAAAAAAAGCAGGCCAAGTTTGATCAAATGCCAAGGTTTTGTTCATTGCTTTTTTTGATTACCGAGGCGTAGTGCATCAGGAGTATTTGCCACATGGTCGTACGGTAAATAAGGAGAATTATCTTGCTCACGAGAGGAATACGAAGAAAACGTTCGGTATTGTGGAAAACAGTTCATGGACACACCGTTAATATGCACAAGCCACCGTATTCACCAAATTTGACACCCCTTCGACTTTTTCTTATTCCCAAGATTGAAGACACCCATGAAAGAACGGCGTTTTGAGAAAAATGACAATTCACCTCATTTTTGAACAAACCTCGTATACAGTATTTTTCAAGGGTAAACAATCCATTTCCACACAGCACCAGATATTCATGGAATATTCCCTTTATGTCATAAAACGAATGTATATATTCCAAATATTCATAGAATATTCTTGGAATATATACATGCCTTTAGAATATGCTTGAATGAATATGTCAGGATTGTTCCCGAAAGAATGTGCATAGAATGTCTATAAATGGGTTATTCTCCCGTGAATATTCTAAGAATATTGTCGATCGAATATACCATACGGTATATTCTTAGAATATATCCCCACGGTATATTTTGGAATATTGTATTATATGTATTACTGGAATTTTGAATTATCTTATGATAACGTATTCAAATAATTCAATATTATTAAAAACAAAAATATTTGAAGATTTGAATCGAATGCATAACCTAACTTTTTGAACTTAACGCGAAGATTCTGACTGTTGGAAACGACAAAAAAATTCGAATGGGCCAATAAATGAACCAATGCATCAAGGAATCGGTTTATTCTCATCCTTTTTGTCTTTTTGTAATTGAAATTATTCATTTAAAAAGCGACAAATCCTGGCAACAGAGAAAGTGGTTAGTGAACTATTGGACGTTTCTTATTGGTCAATTGAAGTGTAGCGCGCGACAGACATCGCTTGGCAGCTTTGCGTTGAAATCGACATTTGATTTAACATGGCGGTTGACATGGCAGGTTTGCGTGTGTAATGTATGGTGTATTGGTGTCATTATCAAAGTATAATTCTCTCATGTTCAGTGTACCATTTATAGTTTGAGGCTGTCCAATTTGCAGCACAGCGAATAGTTTGCTTTTGCATCTTCAAACAGTAGAGTTACATATTCAGCCTTTAAGAAAAGTGGGTAAATGACATAATGAAGCCACGATGCTTAACCTACAATACCTCATTTCAGGCCCGAGGAGAGTTCGTGTGTGAGATTTGTTGGTTTGACATGTTTAAACTAGAGTGATTTCAGTTGTGTATCTTCAGTAGGGAAAAGTAAGTGAATGACACATTCTTTTGTATCATTTGTTTTCATAATTTTTATCACTCTTTTTCAAGATGGTATCAATATGCTCAAAAGGAAACGGAGTGGTACCTGGTACAAGACGGTGCGCCAAGAAACTGAAAACGTAATGAGTACTTTTCAACTAGGGAATGCAAGTTGCTCTCCAAGTCATAAAAAGTTGTAAATGTTCATGAGGAACCTATGAGAAAAATATCTATTTGATTTTTGTTCCAATTTTATTGTTCCACTTTCAAATAGTGATAATGAACGTTAATGTTGGACAAATAGCAGGAAAACTCTTCTGGTGAGCAAAGTTTGGATAACTTTGAGTAAGTGAAATCCATTGAAGAACCCATCATACCACTCATTTAAAATACTTCATTTGTGGGTTTATTTTTTGAAGTGAGAAACCTATATATCGTTCATTTCTTGATGTTATACACTTTTTCTTCTTGAATGAAATGATATATTTATTATTTTTCAATTAGCGCTGATGAATTCAGAGAGTTGTTATTTTAGTATATTTTTCAGTATACATTTTTTTGAGAGTAGGAACATCCTAATTTGAATACATTTCTAATATTTGTAACAATACAATATTCAGGAATATTTTATTCAGTGAATAAATATCTCAAATTAGATTTTTTATTTTCAATATTTGTATTGATAATGAATGTTAATGTTGGACAAATATCAGAAAAACTCCAAACTTTGCTCTAGTGAGCAAAGTTTGGATAACTCTAAGTAAGTGAAATTCATTGAAGAACCCATCATACCAATATTGGTAGAATATTGTAGTGTGCATTGTGTTTGAAATATATTTGTTTATGAATATTATGTATTTCATTACTACATGTATATGCATTTTGATGCATGAATATATGCATAATATCATATACTCGTCACATTTTTGGAATATTGCAAAATATTCCTAGGATATTCATAAAATATATTTTTAGAATATTCTATGGTGATTTCCTATTTTATATTCCTACAATAAGTTATGAATATTCCTTGGATTCTACTCCCGGAATATTCTTAATAGAATATACCTTACATATTTTAAGAATATTTCAAGATATTCCAAGAATATCCCCAAAAAATATTCTTAGAATGTATCAAAGGTTCGCCAGGAGCACTTCCAGGGAATATTCTCCAGAAGATATCTATATCCATGGCATATTCATAGCATAATACAATATCCTTGAATGTATATTCATGAAATATTCCTGAAATATCTATTGCTATGTGAGTTACCACAAGTTGCACGAAGCGATTCTATACAGTGCATTTCAATTAAAGTGAGCCGTCATGAATAAATCATTTGATATTGATACCGTATCAAACACGTCATCTTCAGTTCACTTATATCTAATCAACTTTTTTTCAGCCACCCCCTTCCAATAAGAACCCACATGCCGAAAATTTCAAATGAGAATGAAAGTCGAGTGACACCTTATTCCAAATATTTTTCAGTTCTGTATCCAACCCTGTAACATTTTTGACATTACAACGATGAACAATGTCGGAAAAAACGAACTATTTTCAAAAGTTTGTATTTCATTCCGAACCAATAAGTGAAGCCAATCAGAAAATGTCAGGTCATCAAATGTTTAAGCTGAGCACTATTAATTTGCAAACAATTTCGTAAACGAGCTTTTGCATCCTTGCTTACATTCAGTTGTTTGGAGCTCCTAATAATTTTTTCTTGTTATCATTCCAACCATACCAATTGAAAAAAAGTCACTGAAATCAATTCGAGGAATCTGAGTGGCCACTATATTCGTTCTCACAAAGAATGATTCGTCAATATGGTTATTCGAAATTCCTGTCAAAATTATATATTTTTTTTAAATATTGAGTGTGAAGTTGGTAGATACTTGTTGGTATCTCTAAGTCGCTACAGATTCTAGGTCAACAAATACAAATTTCACCAATATCATGGAGCAACATTTATATAGAGTCATCTAACGGCTGTTTGTGAAAACAAAATAGACAACTCTTATCTCACCAACTATTAATAATAATTGATTTTTTATGATAGGCTCGTGCTTTGGAGGAACAAACATCCGTGTTTGCTGATGACCTTTTGAGACCTGCCACTTATAAAGATCTAATGGAGATGAAATATTTGGAATGCGTGATAAAAGAGAGTCTGAGAATCTACCCGTCAGTGCCTTTGTATGGCAGGCACACCCATGAAGATGTCAACTACAAAGGTAAGTTGAGATTCATCAATAATAATAGGCTATGACATTTATCTGCGGGATCGATAATTTAGCTTCATACCGTTGTACTTTCGGAAGCCTCGTCTATCTTCGATTTTCATGGATTGAGTTCTTGTTGATCTTGTTGATAGTGTCTTCGTAAGAGGACCTCTTTTCTCTTCAGGCTTGTGCTTTAACGACAGTTAAGTTCAACAATGTATTCGTGGTTCAGTCTAATACCACTGATTAGACCCATTATAGGTCGAAACAGTGCTGTTTGATGTTGCATCAAGATTTTTTTGTTTCTGGGCTCCGGTTTTTACAAGTTCGCCAGTACCGTAAAACTAAACAACCATGATACAGGCGCTCAGTGAAAGTCCAGGTTCCTCTTTATACAAAAAAGGTCTGGTTTCAACTGAGAAAGGTACCTAGTTTATTATTTGTTACTATTTCTTCATTTGACATCCTAAACTACTACTTTCATGCTTTATTGTTGATGCTGCTATGAAATAAATGGCTTCAGCTTACTAGAAGTGAGACCTATATTGATAGAAGAGGGCCTAAAGTAGCCCAATTCAGAAATAACACACCGGGCGAAACATGGGCGAGCTTGTACCCAAAATGACATAAAAAAAAATCATCCCAAATGTTTTGTAGTAATTTGAAGAAAATAAGAGCCGCTGTTGTTGGAGTACATGTTGACATATTGAAGATGGAAATCAATTGAGTGCCAACTCATCTCAACCACTATTTTAATGTGATCAATTTCGTCGATGACTCGGGCGAGAAAAATACTAATCAATCGTGGATTTAAGTATCTAGATGTCGGGGGTCTTGGAGAAAGTTCTGTGAGAGTATCTCTGATTCACCACGCAGCACTAGAATTCACAAGTTTTCCTCTAGAGAGCCGACTGCTGAAATTGGGTCGTTTAAACGACTCGATGGAACATTTACGACCTTTAGTAAAGAAACGTTAGAGCTTTTAATAGAAAACCACTTTCCTGGAATTCTGACTCTTGATAACAAAAGACCTTCCATCTTCAAGGGCGATTAATGCTCAAAAAGGACGATTGGGACGTGGTCAAGAAGGGTATCACAGCACCGGCAGTTGAATGGACTATCAAATCATTTCAGCTCTTCAAATTTCCTGGAGAGGATGGTATATTTCCAACTCTTCTTCGGAATGGACTGGAAATAATTTTACCTATTCTCACAAGATTGTATGGAGCTAGTCTGGTGTGGAACTATATACTACCTAGTTGGTTGGGAGCAGGAGTGGTTCATAGACCTAAATCGGTAAGGACTTTCGAGGATACTGGATGGAAACATGAGGAGGGTAGCATTATATGCACTCTCCTGAATAATTACTAGTATGCATATCAAAAGGCTAATCGACAGATTCAGCATTGAACAACCTTGTAGAGGAAATTTACCAGTCCCTTGACAACATCAAGATTGCGGTTGCTGTATTTCCCCATATTGAAGTAGCATTTGACAATGCACTATCTAAATCTATAGAATCATCCTTGGCTAGAAAAGGCATAGAATCGATCATAACTAGTTGGATCAATATCATGCTGGTAAATAGAACTGCAACTACGACTTTTCAAGGCGAGGTCATCAGGTTCAGGGTAACCAGAGGCTGCCCTCAAGTTGGGGTACTATCTCTCCTTTTGTGGCGCTCTTGACAGAAGAAAAGTTTATGCACATAATCTTGTCATCTTGGCAAGGTCCACGTCTGGAAATGTAGCTTGTAATATCCTCCAAAGCACGATTGACGTTATTCACAGTTGGTGCCTGAGGGATCAGATATCTGTCAACCCCAGTAAAACTGTGATAATCCCCTCCACCAGAAGGAGAGAATTGGATGATTCAACGCCACTTTCCCTCAATGGTGAGTTCATTTCATTTGGAACGGAGGTGGGATAGTTCAGCATTGTCCTTGATGAATAACTTACCTGGGACGCTCACTTGGAAAAACTTTCACACAAAGCCAGACTATCCTTATGGACATGTTGAAGGATTTGTGATAAAACTTGGGGTTGAGGTCCCAAACATATCCCTTGGATGATTGTGATGAATGTCAGAGCAATGATAACTTATTTTGCGATGGCTTGGTGGCCGAAGGCTTTACTGAAAACGTCTCAGCCGAAGATGTCTGGTTTACAGAGACAGGATTGTCTGGCCATCAGTGGTGCCATCAGTACGACACCGTCAGCGGCCATGGACATCGGTCTAGATCTACCTCCTCAATACATTTTTCTGAAAAGAGAGGCTAATTGGACTGCATATAAACTTGTGCACATTGCCAATTGCACAAATCAATTTAATGCAGAGTGCAACAGACTACTTATTAACACTGGAAGTCACAGCATTCTGAAAATGATCTCTGACTTTATGCCTTCAACTGTCAACTACAAACTGCCTTATAAAGTACTGATTCCGACTAGAAAAGACTGGATCCTCCGGCAGAAGGAAATATCAAGAGCAGATAGTTGTTGGTTCACAGATGAATAATAATAATATATTTTCGAACAGACAAGCGGCATTGGAAGCTCTTGGCTCCTACCGAGCAACGTCTAAATTGGGAACAAATTGCCTGAAACGACTCTCCTCGATAGGAAGACTTCACAGATTGTCTCTGGTCTGGATTCCTAGCCATACTGGCCTGGAAGGCATTGAGGCTGCTGACTACTTTACAAAGAAGGGTGCTGCAAGTAGCTTCATCGGATCAGAACCTGTCACCAAACATTCAACACCTGGATGTCAAGAAGATTTATGGACTTCTGATAAAATCTTCCAGAATTGGTTCACTCCAAGGAGTTTATTTACCCTCCGAAGCTTGATACTAACAGTTATTGGACTACAGTAGGGATGAACTACAATGTCTAGCAGACCTACTCACAAGTCACTGTCATTTGTATCATCATATGCAGAGACTAAGACTGTCGGAAGACAGTGTGTGTCGCATCTGTTTGGAAAATGATGAAATAGCGGCGCACATACTTTGTGCCTGCCCCGCTGCGGACCGAATCAGGTTCTCAGAGTTTGTCAGAGGCGAACTGTTTTTTAAATATGGGATGGATATAATTTTATTATCAAATAAAGTCTTACTGACGTATTTAAATTCTATTTATTTGACAACTGTCATCAACATCTTCTTTCTACTAACAAACTTGATTTAACTAAAAATATTATCAGACATCACATAAAATAAATAAAAAATCTATATACAGAGGGAATAATAAAAACATACATTTTGAATCCAACACTGTTACCATCTGACATGAAAGACCACTCACCATACAAACTAATCGGCTTCGTTAAAAAGCTGGGTTCATTTGGTCGAGTGTGAATAGGTGTGAGGCACAATAAACCCTTGCCAAAATGAAAGCATCAGTTAGATTGATGATATGTAGTTGAACTGGTTTGTAATTTTTTTCCTGCGTTGCTCAACATATTGCGGGAAGAGTAATCGAATATTCTGTAGAAAGTCCTAAAGCTGGCTCTGAAAAACTGGCATTTTTTCCGTAGATGAAAACCCAGGACTGCATCTCTTACGTACTCTCAAACAGATATATATTACAGATTGAATATCGATTCAATTTGTATTGACAAGATTATATATTTAAAAACTGAAAATTTTGGATCACAGTTGTGTAGTTTTATGTTGGTAGTTGAAAGAAAAAATATTTCAACACAGTTTTTGGTTTGCTTTCAGGAAATGTTATACCAAAAGGGACCGACATAATCATTTTCGATTATGGAATACTGCATGATCCAGAAATTTATCCAGATCCTGAAAAGTTTGATCCAAGCAGATTCGAAGAAATTGATGGAAAAAGACCATTTAACTACATCCCGTTCAGTGCTGGACCCCGCAATTGCATTGGTAATTAATATATATCACCCAAACTATATGTCTGAGAATTCGCGCTTGCAACAATTTCAAACAAAAAATTGAAACTGAAAGGGTTAGAAAGGGCAAACTTCTGATTGGCCCCGATGAACTACTGTGAAATATGTCAATTTTGTTGATTGACTTTCAGAATACTCGATACAGTACAAGGTGTTCTTTGGTATTTTGAAATTAATTGCCTGGAATCACTTCCTGGTCTTCAAACCCAAAAAATAGTAACACTAATTGCCTTCTTCCTTTTTTTGGAAAATTCCAACATCTTGTAATGTTATCCAGGTTGGTAATGAGGAGGCAATAAGGCAAGTGTCTCATTCCGAAACATTGGATTGACGATGACAGTGTTCCATGTAAGTGAAATTTTACCTCTTTCATGTACCATATTGTGTAGCAATCCTGTGAATAATATGATTCAATTCCATAACGAACGTTTGGAATACGAACTAAATAGAGACTAGCGTTTATACTATCAACACACTCATGTACATCTTCACTACTAAAGTACAGTAGGGTATTGTCGGCAAATAAGTGAATTCTACATCATTTTGCTATGGTTACAACGCCATTCAAATATATGAGGAATAACAATGGTCCCAAAATAGACCCTTGGTGTATACATATATTATTTTGCATTTTATCCGAATAAACTTCCTCTAGTTTCAACCTTTGCTATCTATTGCTCAGATAATTCATGGTCCAGTTTAGTGCTATTCTAACAATACCTACGCTTTCAATCTTTCTAATCAGTCTGCATCTATCTACAGTTTCAAATGCCCTTTGAAGGTCTAGAAATACTGCAATAGTATACCGAGCCATTTCCGCACCTTTCTTCCAATTTGTTAAAACACATTGTAACGCAGTTTCACAACTATGTTTGCTCCGAAAACCTGATTGATACTCACAAAAGACCCTATTACCCTCCAAATAATCCACTATCTGTTCATATACAGCCCTTTCCAATACTTTAGCTGTAGAAATAATCATGTTCATTGGTCTCAATTGAATAGCTTGGTTTGTATTTGGTCTTTTTGGTATAGGTATAACAGTAGATAATTTTAGTTCAGTTGGTACTTCACCTTTCTATAAAGAACTGTTGATAATGTTCAACAATAGATTACAAATGGCATTGAAACACTTCTTCAGAAGTTCTACACAAATTTCATCGGGACTACTTTTAATTTTCAAAGAACCAACAATTCTTTCTAGATCATCATATTGTCGCGGCCCAAATGGCTCGCGAGTTGGGGGTTAACTCAATGGAAGTATTTATATAAAAATAATAATCATAGAGATAGAAAATAATGAAGTTTATTAAAATAAAGGTACCACATATCCTTCAACAATGTCACGCTTAATCAAAATTATATACTTCAACAAACCAATAATACAAATCAAAAAATAATATACTTACCGAAGGTACATTTTCAGAAGGTGGCAAACGAATGATCAATACCCACACATTCTTGTTTCCGATTTTAGGTCGAAGTCTAATATTGCCAATCAGCATTATTGCATTATCGCTAATTGCCGAATATCATAACTTTTATTTGGGTAAATGAACTTTTACTAGATCGACCCATACAGTGCGGTGCACTGAGGCTATAAATTTGGAAAATTGAATATTTTCGGAAATTATTATGTTTGACAATTTGGCTTTTGACAATATTGATAACAGTATACAGTACACCAAAGTATGTCAATATACTAAGACGCCTAATAATGTTTTTTGAAGTGTGATAGACCTGGTGATTAGCTCGAATTCGTAGTTGTACCTCTATATGAGAAAAACGTTATAATTATTCCACCTATTATTAGCAAGCCATTAGCTAGTAATTGTTGTATATGAGGTCAAGCTAGACTGCGTTTATTTCAGCAGGTTCCAAAACATTTTGATACTGTTGAAAACCAGTGAATTGAAGGAATTTCTCTTACTTTTACAGGACAGAAGTTTGCAATGTTGGAAATGAAATGTACCTTATCGAAAATTCTTAGGAATTTTGAACTACGTCCAGCGACTCCAAAACACACTTTGAAATTGACTCCAGAAGCTGTTCTCAAATCATCGAACGGCGTAAGAATACAAGTGAGGCCCAGAAAGTTGTAGTTGGTGTATTAGACAAATAACACTATCTCTATGTCATCTATATGATGTCGTGAAATTATATGTTATTGTATTATATCACTGTTATACAAACTTTGTTTATTGATTTTATTAAAAAATTTCCTTGGTCAAAATTCTATACTATAAGGTAAAGTGTTAAAAAAGAAATGAAATAAGTGAAAAAAATTATATTGAACGGGTTTATTGAAAGAGAAGATAATAATAATTATTGAATATTGTTCGGTTATATGGAACCCATACTATAATGTGAATATCGATTCGATTGAGAATGAAATAAATTATAAAGGAATTGTGCTTTTCACTTTGGTATTCCACGAAATGAATATGAGTACAGTCAACTTCAAATCATCATTATCTTTTTTTCAATGAAACCTTTTAACATATTTTTTTTATTTATTTTATTTTCAAGTTTTCAGTTTCTAATTTTGTTACTCAATTATATTCATTCTGTTCAGTTCATTTAGTGCCACAGTATTACAAGGACAAAATTAAGAGTAGCATCCTTCTTTCAGGCGTCCCATAATTGAACTTTGCTGGAAACAGTATCAGATCTGGCAGGAGTCGAGACGGTCATGAACATATCAGGAGGCTGTCAAATAAATTCTTCAAGTTCTTTCTGCCGAAAAGCCCGCTGACGAGGAACGTCACGGCGCTTAGCTCATGAAAAAGCTCGTGACATCAGAATTACCCTTACCCGTTTTTTTCATGAACTTTTTCCAGGGGGCTAGCTAGTAATGATCCTGTAGCACCCACTTAGTACACTTACTTATGAGGTATCGAAATCGCAACATCTCGATAAATCTCGCGTAAGCCTTGGCAGGAAGCGGAAAGTCTTGGCTGAATGCTGAAATGAGGCTCTGTTGGGCAGAGAGCTAACCGTTAAGGCGGTTATGATCACCCATTGGCCTGTCGTGGGTCTATGTGGTGGCGCTTCACCCTGTGTACGTCCTGGGGCTCGATATTGAAGTTTCATCCTGCTGATCCTCCCCTTTCCTTTACCAACCCTTTTCCTGTCCCCCTACACACTCCCGCTTGTCGGAGAGATGTAAATATTGTATATATACTCTATACCTCTGGACCTTAGATTCACTCTAGAGAAATAGGCAATGAAGAATTTTTTATTTTTTTTCAAGGGTGGATAAGATGTACTTCGTCTCTGCCAAAGTTGATCTGAACTGACGGTACATTTGTTTCGTACATTTGAGTTCGAGGAAACTGAGGCCAAACAATTTCTTCTGCAATGTAGCCAATAGCGCTGTTTTCCAATCCTTTCCATTATTGGACCACAACATATTGAGGTAGTTGTGAAATAATTTGTAGTGTGTCATTTTGTAGCTGCGGCCATTTCGAATTTGCATCTTTATCAGAGTGTACTACTATTCTACGGAGCCAATTTCGTTCTTTCACCATAGGCGTGAGCTCATATGAAAACGCCTATAGGCAAAGTTGAAACATTGACGTTTTCGGTATTAAGAGGATAAGGACTAGTTCTCAATGACATCGAACTTCAAATGCTGCAAGAACAAAGAGTGACAAAATGTCTGCTGTATCCAGTGCTTCAACATGTTCCACGAATTATATTTCTCGTTCACACAAAAGGGTTTTTAAAAACTTTTTATTTGAACAGAGTAACAACTAATAACTATGAAATATAAGTACTGGCTATTACAAATCAATTGCACCTATTTATATATAAATTATTGCCGACTTTGCAGATATCAGCAAAATAANGATATTCAAAGAAAAATTTTTCTGAATCATCTGCGAAAGCTTTCTGGGATATTTCTAGCAGAAAATAAATACAGAAATACTAGTAGTGAGTCAAGAATTCAAGAAACCCACTCCGGGGTCGGACCCCGGAGTCACTAACAGTAGAAAATCTGGAAACTCCGAAACAGAGACCAGGAATAAAACAAAAATTCGGCCGAATACTGCTGAACAGCCAAAAATGGAAACTACTCAACCTGAAAGTGACAATCCGATATCAGAGGCGTCATCAGGAAGTAGTTTCAATATTACTAAAAAATCTCTACGACAAAACCCAAGCAAACTATATGCAACGCTTAGATACACAACGCCTACACAGGACAAATCACAAAATACAAAAAAGGAAGAAGAGAAAATGGAAGTTAGCCTGGAGAATAGCGGCGACCAGGCTGCTGGGGGTGTAATGAAGCTACATAGTGGGGACAAAACGCAGCCCTGCGGTCTGGCCATTGCAGCCACAGACTACTCAGGAGCACAAGATAACAAAATGAAAATTATCACAATGGCCACTATTCATCCTGAACCAAAAGATAATAAAAAAAATTAAATGGACACATCTAAAACAGTTGAGGTGATTGCGCACAAGAACACAGCAACACAAAAGAAAACACATGAGGATTTGGACATGATAACAATCTTAGAAGATGAAAAGGCTACCCCACGAAATAAAGCTAGGATCGGGGAGAATGAAGGAATTCATCTCCCCGACCTAGCTAACATACTGAAAAATATTAAAAAACAAACAACCACAACACCGGCAAGACAAATCGAAAAAACGGAGGGTAAACTGAAGTTGAAAGTCAGAAGACAAAATGAAAGTCAAACCACAAGCGACGAGGAAGAATCGGCGCAAAGGAAGAGAAAACGAAGGAAGAGGAGGAAAACCTCCTCCACCCCTCCCACCCCCTCCACACTCCTTAAGGAAAAGGAGGAATATAGCACTTCCAATGACATTAAAGACAAAATAGAACGAATCAAAAAGGCCACAATGGAAGGGGTCAACCAAAAAGTGGAAATTTTCAGAAAGGTGAAACCAGTCATGGACACAGCCCTTAAGGACTTCCTATTGGAAGAGATGAGGAAAAATCAAATTGAAACGATCCGAAAATACTATAGGGACCTATATATCACCGAAGCAGAAAAAGAAATCA